ATATATATATATACATGTTCTAAAATTCCACCATGACAAGATAATTACTGTTAACATTTTGGACACCATCATTACAGAACTATCTCTAAGCATAAAGTTATTTTACACAGAAGAAACCTTATGCCATATGCAATCGTTTAATTTTTACCCACTCAGTGTGAGTAGGTGGTAAAGAGCTTTGCGTGATAATAAGAATATACCCACATCATTATTTTTAACGGCAGCCTCGGTCATTGATGTGTGTGCCATATTTGCTTCATAGGTTTCTCTCTATGAATATTGGTTAGTGTCTAAGTTTTTGATACAATGAGATTATATCCTATGAGATTTTAAAGGGTGGTGCAATGGAGGCCTATCTTTCCCCCAAAGACATCATTACCCCCTAGACCAAATACCTTGACCTACGGGATATCTGATCAAAGAGAAGCAAATTTTACATTTTCATACGTACTACCTGAGATAGTTAAAGTTTATTGTGCCAACCTGAAGGGCGGAGCGATAAATGGCTCAGTGAGCCTTGCCTTTCTAGTTCTCGGGTTTCTTGCTCTCTGAAGGTCGGGCCAGGCTGTAGCTCTGCCTTAGCCAGTTGCCTGCTTCAGCTGTCAAGGCTCACTTCCTGCCAGACCTACCCCGATGCAGTCCTGGGTGCTGGAGCACCCGTGTGGAGACCCCTACTAGCTCTGAGATGCTTAGACATTCAGATTTGGCTTTCCTCCTGCAGTCGGCATCATTGCGTGTGTTTTGTGAGTTGGAGGAGGACTTTGTAGATTGGTGTCAGACGTATGGGCTAATGTTGGACCTGTGGGCTTGGGCAGTACTGGGTTGGGATGTTTTCTTGATGTGTTTCTCTAAAGTACCCAGACTAACACACTACCAAACTGTCCCCCATAAAAACTGTACTAAGCAACACCCCTCAATGGGGCTTTGTCGATTTTCTTTTTGCTAATCTAGTTATTCCTTTGGGTTTCCAAAACTGTTCAATCTTTCCAGGAGAAGACAGCCGCATCCTCCCTCAGACTGGCCGGTGGGCTCACACTGTTGTGTTGTTAGGGGAGGCTGAGTTGTTTCCCTCTTGCAGAGATCCCGTGTACTCAGTCTGGCACCAGTCTCACAATTGGTGCGATGTTTCAGTACAGGGTGGCAGATGCTGTGTCAAGCCTTCTCAAGCGCCTTCCTTTTTTAAAAAAAATTGCCGACCTTCTACTTTACTAATAAGCATGATGTCCTTCTCCAAAGACAACTCCTACATGACCGCATGTCCAAAGTATGTCAGACACAATCTTACCATCCTTAATTCTAAGCAGCATTCAAACTGTACTTGGAAGACAGAGTTGCTTGTTCTTTCGGTAGTTCAATGGATATTCAACATTCTTCACCAATGTATCCATTCTTCTTCAGTGTTCCTTATTAATTGTCCATCTTTCGCATAAAGATGAGGTGAATTAAAATATCAAGGCTTTATTCAGGTATACATTAGTCCTCAAAAGTGACATTTTTGCTTTTAACGCTGTAAAGAGGTCTTTAGCTGCAGCTTTGTCCAATGCATAAAGCACTTGATCTTTTGGCTACTGTTTCTATGGGTGTTGATTGTGGATCAAAGTAAAATGAAATTATTGACAATGTCGATCTTTTTTTCCATATGTCATGATGCTGCTTATTGGTCTAGTTGTGAGTTTTTTTTAACTTTAAAGTGTAATTCGTAACCACTAGGATGACTATAATCAAAAGGTTAGACAATAACAAATGTTGGTGAGAATGTGGAGAAATCAGAACCTTCATGGACTGCTGGTGAGAAGTAAAGTAGTGCATTTTGTATAATACCCATTTTGTAAAACATCTTGGAAGTTCTTTAAAAAGTTAAAAAGAGTTACTGTCTGACCCTAAAATTCTATTGTTTGGGCTTTCAAAAAGGTCTTGGAAATTTTCCATGATCTTTCTATTTCATTTTTTTCCAGGAACTTTTTAAAGCTTCTCCTATCTAAAAGATGTGAAGACAGACATCCTACACAAAAAACGTGTATTCAAAAGTAGAAACAACCTTATGCCCATCAAGATGAGTGGATAAGTAAAATGCAATGGAATGTTAATTAATTAATTAACATGAAAGAGAAAGGAAATATTGGTACAAAGGTAGCAAGAATGGAACTTGAAATCTTCGTGTCACACAAAAGAAGCCAGTCACATCTGCTACCTTTATACTAAAAGGTAGCAGATGGACATTGGACCTCCACTCAAGTACTCCCTCAATGCAAGAACACTTTGTTTTATTAAATTGGCATTCCATGATACTC